GGAAGCATCCACATCACACAGTGATATGAATACTTGAAGATTGACCCTCTTCCTAAGCACAGAAAAGAAAGTAATTAAGTATGATTTTTAAAATTTTACTTCATATTCCTTTATTTTTTATATTTCTATTATTTTTAAAGTATTCTTACTTGTGGTACCGTTTCGGTTCCTGCTGTGGTGTCATGGAGACCATCAAGAACACTGGTTAAAATAGTGGTACAATCTCAGTGCTTTTTTTCTCTTTTATAAAGCTGACCCTGAAACCCTATATTCCACATGATACAAAAAAGCTTATATGCTGGGACACACTGCAGAGGTGAAAAGTAATTCGGCATGTTCTCCCTGTGCCTGCGTGGGTTTCCTCTGGGTACTCCGGTTTCCTTCCACACTCCAAAAGACATGCTGGTAGGTTAATTGTATCCTGTCTAAATTGGCCCTAGTATGTGTATGTATGAATGAAAGTTAGGGACCTTAGATTGTATGCCCTTTGAGGGTTAGGGACTGATGTGAACGTACAATATATATGTAAAAGCGCTGTGTAAAATTGATGGCGCTATATAAGTACCTGAAATAAATAAATAATAAAACGGATGCAGCATAAAGTAGATGCATACCTAAAAGGAGAAACAAACTGTTCCTTTAAAGAGGGCTTGGTCCTGAAGTGGTTAAGCACATGTAAATATGAAATGATGGCTCCCAGTTACTTTGAAGTTATCTACTGTACTTTGTTTCTTAAGACTCGGTTCACACTGCCGCGACTTGGGGTCCAACTTGTAGGACCCCAAGTCGCATGACATGTGAAATCCCATATTAGTCAATGACAGCTGTCCTAATTAGCATTACTGAAATTGCTCCAACTTTAGAAAACATTTCTGTATTACTTCAAGAAGACGTCTATCCGACTTGTGTATATAGACTTTAATAGAAGTTGGCTCCAAGTCGGATCCACATCTATATTGATGTGATTTGAATTCGACTAACCTTTTTTTTTTTTTTTTTTTGACCAATTGGAAAATATCAGTTTTTCATAAAGTTTAATTTCATGTAGTTATTTTCAGAATTTGAATTCTGTGTAAAGAATAGCTGGTTGCTAAGGAGAGGGTGCCACATCCTTTACCACTTTCAGGCCACAATGTACTTTGGACGGGTGACAGCTACAGGACCAGCAATGTATCCGTACGTCACTAGTGCTTTATTAACACAGGGGGGTGCTGCACGCCAGAGCAGAATGAGAATCCTGGTAATTGGGACCTGGTGATTATGTGATCACTGTGCGATCACATGATCACAAAAACAACAAAGCTTTTATGAATCAATCTGATCCATAAAAGCTTTGCTTCTGTCACTGGAGAGTTGTGATTGGTCCACAGCTCTCACATGGCACATGGGGCCAATCAACTTAACACATTCATGACAGTTCAAAGCAAGTTTTGCATTGCAGAGCAATAATCATCATGTAAAGTGTAAAAAAAAATCCCTGATCACCCCCAGAGTCATACAATATAAAAAAGAAAATTAATGTTTAAAAAAAATTAAAAATGTTTTTAAAAAATTGTTTTTTAACTACATGCCGTCTGTCTGCCAGCAATGTGTGGATGAGCAGTGGCTCTGGGCAAAGCAATTACATTTTACACACACATTAGATTATAATGTTTAACTCTTAGATTGCCTATTAACCCTTTGATCACCCCTCATCCAGGAAGTGCCATTAGTACAGTGTCAGTATATAGAATTTTTCACTGATCGCTGTATTAATGCCAGTAGCAACATCAGGTAGCATCAGGTTCTGTAAGCTCCCCTCCCAGTCAGGGTCAGCTAGCGTTAGATTGCCCGCAATCTATCGCACTCATGTTATAGGTTGTTGATCACTACTATTACTAATATAATGTTTGTACAGATCAATATATTGATCATGAACAGAACTATACTAGTCTCAGCAAAGATACACTTCAAAAGAAGTCTAGTGGCGCATAAATTAATTAATAGTGCCGAAAAACTCTTAAAATTTTTTTTTTAAATTTTATATAAAAATGTCTTTGACATAAAAATATATATAAATTAATAAAATAAAAAAAAATTTGTATATTCCAAAAGAAAACTCCAAATAAATCAGTCCATAAATCAATCACCACATGAAAAATGTGTGCAGTGCTCCCCTCTCAGGTATGCACTCGGCAAAAAGTGTTGCCTCCCACTCTCGTGGTTGGCACACTAAGCTTAAATAGATGGTTTCTCCAAGGACCAGATCAGGTCACTGTGATGTTTTATTGTACTCTTTACTCTTGAAACATTTGAATCCGATAAAATGCTCCCAAACTCCGGCACATGGACTCCTCCTCACAATGCTCCACACTCCAGTTCAGCTTGAACAACTTCACAGATCAGTGTGCTCTCTTCTGCATTATCAAAGCTCTCTAAGATATCTGCTAGGTGGTATTAATTCTGTAAAGCCTCTCTTGTGTAGACATCCAAAAGCCCCGATATTGCTACTAGGTGCCGCTACTTTTGATGTTGTGATATGGGGGTTGGTTTTCCTCAGAGACATTTTTAAAGTCCACAGCAGTCAGAACTCTATTTAAGGGGACAACAGCCCACTTTTATTGAATCTTAACACAAGGGTTCTCATGCAGGAGATTCAGCTTCACTCAAAAGCAGTGTAAATAGAAAATGCCAAGCAACCTGGCTCTCCTGTCAGCAACACCGCTGCTCTCTCTGGCCTCTCAGACGCTGGGCTCTTCAGGCACGCTCAGCTTATGCTTGCACCACCTTGCTGCACGGGCCCACTCGTGGTCTCTGGATAGGGCTCTCCCACTCTTGAGACTTACAGATCCCCCTCCCAGACTAGTTGTCTCAGCTCTCCCAGTCCTCTGCTGACCTGCTTAGCTGTCCCAACTCTCCCAGTGCTGTGGGTAAGGGCATCTCTCCAACATGGAGTCTTTTCTTACAAGTAGGTCACCTCTCTTGACAGGAGCACACTTCTATCCTCTCACAAAGTTTTCAAAGCCAACACAGACTTTGTGTGAGGATAGCATTCTTTTATTTACATTCAACTGTCAGTGGGAAACCACTGACAGCTGATGAGTCATCGGTTGAAATTTAATGAAAAAAATAATATTTTCCAGTTGGTCCAAAAAAAAACAAAAAACAGCAAAGCTTCATGGCAAAGTCATGTCCTACTCAAGTCGCCAGCAAATCGTCAGAAAGTTGCCTGGCAAAGTTACATTGTAAGTCACATGACTTTCATTTTGCAGTAGTGTGAACCAAGCCTAACTTGCAGCAATTTATTACATTGATAGATGAATTTATTTTCTCTGTTGGTGCTCAAGAGAATAAATCATAGAACAAATTAAGTAGCAATTATTCAACATTACACATGTGGACACATGTTTTGGTGCAAAGAAACCTTTTGGTCCAGGATTTAAATATTAGCAAAATGCGTAAAAGAGCATCAACCCAAGAGCCTTGAAAATCTCAGTCTTTAAATGTTTTGGGTCTAGCTGCTCATGCTAATATGATACACAAATTATTGGAATTCATCACTTTAATCCCTTTCCACCTCCACCCCCCCTTCTCAGAACTTTAAGAGAATCTAAATGACAGGAGGTGGAGGCAGGCATTGCAATCATGTGACTGCTGTGATTAGTTGTCACAGCGGTAAAATGATTGAAAGCTCCGAATAGCAAGTATGCATTGGACTCTTTCTCTGACATTTTAGTGAGTGTAGTAAAGCGTACATATGTGGCCGCTTGGTGTTAAAGGCCACCTGGGGTTGGGTTAAGTGATACAGTTTGGGTGAGGAAAGTTAAGTTTTAGGTATAAGTCAGAGGTAAGAGACACTTATGGGTGCTTAATTTTACTTGTTTTGAGCACTAAAATTTCCAGCTGGGCTCCAGCACAAGAAACTAACATACCAACGTGAAAGGTCTGTAACAAAAAATTAAAAGCCCCTGTCAATGGGATTTGCATTTGTGTTAATGGAATCAGTTTTAGGACCAGTTCACACCATGCCCGAGCTGAATTGCACGGGAAAGCACTGTGTGTTTCTGTGCGATTCATCTGCAGCTCTGTGTGGTGCGATTTCAAGCCCATTCATTTGAAAGCGTCTGAAATCGCACCGCACCAAAAGTAAGGAATGCACTACTTTTTGAAACACACGGCAACAGCATCATATGGTACTTTCTACCATGCGATTTTAGTGCAGGGTAGTGGGGGAAACTGACCCCCGCAGCAGATCGTAAGGGCATTGCAATCAGAATGCGGTGCAGGAAGCTGCATGTGACCGTGGCTCTCCCGAACCATATGCTAGTGTGAACAAACCCTTACACTAGTTTGAAATACTGCTTAGATCATTCAGAGTTCATTGACAGGTGCAATTGATCCACAGTTCACCTCCTTGTTACCTGTTTCAAGCAGGTTTTGCGTTGCCACTTGAATCAAAATGCAAAACCTGTTTAAAGCAAGCAATAGTCATCAACACAGGCCCTAAAGAATATCTAAAGCAAAATACTTGTAAGTTATTTCTCACTCACCACACAGGCATGGCATACGCATACTTACAAATACACCCAAAAGCACATTTCCCTTCTGATTATGGGAATATCACATGTGGTATTTTTTTTTGCTGCCTAGATGAATAAAAGGGTCCAAAATCCAAGGAGCATCTTCAGGATTTTAAGGGGCATAAATAAGGCATCAGCTTTCCTGATTATCTATCACATTTATTGAAGCTCTGAACTGCCAGGACAGGAGGCACACTCATAAAATGACCACAATTTGGAAAGCAGACACCTCAAGGTATTTTTAAGAGGTATAATAAGTCTTTTGAAGATCTTCACTCTTCCTCCTAAGTACCTTATTTTTCGCTCCATAAGACGCACCTGACCATAAGACGCACCTAGGTTTTAGAGGCAGAAAACAAAAAAAAAATTATTTTGAACCAATGGACTGAAGACATAGTACAGGAGATCACCAGAGACTGCAGACATAGTACAGGAGATCACCAGAGACTGTGGACACAGTACAGGAGATGACCAGAGACTGAGGACATAGTACAGGAGATGACCAAAGACTGCGGACAGTACAGGAGATGACCAGAGACTGCGGACACAGTACAGGAGATGACCAGAGACTGCGGACAGCACAGGAGATGACCAGAGACTGCGGACATAATACAGGAGATGACCAGAGACTGCGGACAGTACAGGGGATGACCAGAGACTGCGGACAGTATAGGGGATGACCAAGAAACTGCGGACAGTATAGGGGATGACCAAGAGACTGCGGACAGTATAGGGGATGACCAGAGACTGCGGACAGTACAGGGGATGACCAAGAAACTGCGGACAGTGCAGGGGATGACCAAGAGACTGCGGACAGTACAGGAGATGACCAGAGACTGCGGACAGTACAGGGGATGACCAGAGACTGCGGACAGTATAGGGGACGGCCAAGAAACTGTGGACAGTATAGGGGATGACCAAGAGACTGCGGACAGTACAGGGGATGACCAGAGACTGTGGACAGTGCAGGGGATGACCAAGAGACTGCGGACAGTACAGGAGATGACCAGAGACTGCGGACAGTACAGGGGATGACCAGAGACTGCGGACAGTATAGGGGACGGCCAAGAAACTGCGGACAGTATAGGGGACGACCAAGAGACTGCGGACAGTACAGGAGATGACCAGAGACTGCAGACAGTACAGGAGATGACCAGAGACTGCAGACAGTACAGGAGATGACTGCTGACCTTTGGGAGGGAGGGGGAGCGGGTACCTGAATTTGACAGGTACCTTCTCCCACTTCCACGGAGTTGTCCTCCCTTTAGTGTGGGCACCTGGCTCACAGCCAGGTGCCCAGTGCCCAGTGCGCATGCGCAAGAAGCGCTGCGCTTTGTGATTGGTCTGGCGTCTTCTGGGACCTGTCATGTGTCCCAGAAGACGCCGTACCATTCACAAAGCACAGCGCTTCTTGCGCATGCACACTGGGCACCTGGCTGTCAAGCCGAGAGCACACACTAAAGAAGCTGGCTCAAGAAGACTGCGCAGCACTGGACCGAGGAACAGGTAAGGTCCTGCTGCAGAGCTGAGCGGCTGGCCTGGTATTCTGACATGGTGGCGGTGGAAATACTGGACCGGCCACTCCATATTCGCTCCATAAGACGCACTGACATTTTCCCCCCTTTTTTGGGGGGAAAAAAGTGCATCTTATGGAACAAAAAATACGGTATGTGGATACACATGTGTTAGTCAAGGAGCATCTTCAGGTTCTCAAGGGCATACATTAGGCATCTAATTTATTAACTATTTATCACAAGTTTGGAGGCCCTGTAGTGTCAAGACAGTAGAACACCCATAAAATAACATTTTTGAAAACAGACACCCCAAGGTATTCTTTAGGAGGTATGGTGAGTTTCATATTTTGCCAATTGTTTATGGAAAATGCGGAAAGAAAATTAAAATTCATTTTTTTGTACACAAATTTGCAAATGCTGATATTCTCTCAGTACAGTAGAAACACCCAGAAAATGAATAGGGAATATAGCTTAGCATAGCATGACCCCTATCAGTCCCTTTACATATAAACCAAGCAAGTCTAGCCTACTAGTAGGTGGTTGCCCCAGGAATGCTATGTCCAGTAGCCAGAAAGTATAGGAGGATGAACAATGGGTTCCCTGTGGTTCCTGGGAGGGGTGATTATTGCTGTTGTCCACAGAGGATGTCTGAGGCTGGTGTCGTAAAGGTTAGTACAGGTGGCAGAAAAAAGGCAACACTGCACTGGTATGACAGTAATCATGAACACTGTTGCCAGCTGCACTGGCTTTGGTTACACTGTACTGGTGTGGGTAGTGATCAGGACCATTGTTGCTGGCTGCACTGGGTGTGGTGACACTGGCACTGCTCTGACAGCCATCAAGAACACGGTTATTGACTGACATTGGTATGACAACAGTAGGATAGATGTGGCTGTGATCAGGTAGACTGTTCCTTACTTACACTGGTCTGATGGCACTGGGACTGGTATGCAAAAATTATAGAACACTGTTGCTAAATTACACTGGCCTGGTGTCAAGGGTACTCATGTGGCAGCAATCAGGAACAAAGTTGCTGGCTCCACTATCCTGGTGACACTGTCCCTGGTGTGGAAACAATCAAGAACACTGATTCTGGCTGCACTAGTCTGGATCACTGGCATTGATGTGGCAGCAATTAATTACACTGTTGCTGGCTACACCAGTATGGAGACACTGGCATTGGTGGGATTGCAATCTGTAACACTACTGCTAGGTTAAAATGGTCTGGGGACACTAGGAATGGTGTGGTGGGGATCAGGAACACTGTTTTTTTAATAACACTGGTCTGGTGACAGTGCGGTTGAAGATGGTGATGGTGACACTGATCCTGGTGTGGAAGCAAACGAAAACACTGTTTCTTGCTGCATTCGTCTTGATCACTGGCATTGGTGTGTCAGTGATCAGTTAAACTGTTGATGACTGCACCAGTCTGGCAACACTGGGACTGGTGATGTGATGATCAGGAACACTGTTGCTGGCTTACACTGTTTGGTGACAATACAGTTTCTGACTTACACTGGTGTGGTGACACTGTACTGGTGTGACAGCGATCATGAACACTGTTGCTGGCTTACATTGGTCTGGAGAAACTGGAATGAATGTGGTGTTGATCAAGAACACTGTCACTGGCTGCACTGGTCTGGTGTGGTGGCTATCAGGAATACTGTTGCCAGATACATTGGTCTAATGACATGGTGACTAGCTTGGCAGTTATCAGGGATACTGTGGTATGGTGGTATGGTGACACTGTACTGATATGACATTGATCAGTAACACTGTTGTTGGCCGTACTGGTCTAATAACACTGTACTAGGATGGCATCAATCAGGAGCACTGTTGCTGGCTGTACTGGTCTGGTGACACGGTACTGCTGTGGCAGCAATCGGGGACACTATTGCTGGCTGTACTGGTTTGGAAACACCATACTGATGTGAGGGTGATCAGGGAAACTGGCTGCCTTACACTGATCTGGCAAAACTAAAATTGGTATAGCAGCAATCAGGAACACTGTTGCTGGCTGATACTGGTCTTGTGACAATGGGACTGATGCGGCAGTGATCAGGAACATTGTTGCTGGCTGCATGGTTTGGTGTGGTGGAGTTCAGGAACATTGTTGCTGACTGTACTGGTCTGGTGATACTGTGACTGGTTTGGTAGTGATCAGGGACACTGTGGCTGGCTCCACTGACATAGTGACACAGTACTGGTGTGATGGTGAACATTGTTACTGGCTGCACTGGTCTAAGATTCAGGTTGAACATGAGATTGACCTAAATCCAAGTAATTCACGATTCGAGTAATGTGGATGTTCACATCATTAGCAACCAATTACAAATAATTAACTTTCTGGTCTCCAGATTGTGGGGAGACATTTGCCACTATACCACCACTATAAAATACTACTGCTGAAAACTGCTATATTTACAGTCAGTTTCATACACACTAAGGGTTTGGTTTACTTAAGGCAGACCTTAGTGAATAAGATGAAGCTTTGATGACCACCATCATCCAATTATGTGCAAGAAAAAAAATATTTTTTAATTTTCTTACACATGATTAGGCATTCTTTGCAAAGTGAAATATTACTACATTCAATAAGCTTTGGGGCACATTCCATTGCAATTTACAACTACCCTTGCAAATTGAACAGTCTATTTGCCTTTAGTAACTCAAACCCTCAGTATGTTGGTGAGAGACTTGGAGTAGATAGCCATAGATCATAGAGTGTTTGCAAGGAGAAATATTTGCTGCTTTACTGCCAGTATACAATTCTGCTGCTGAAAACTGCTATATTTACTGTCAGCCATGTAAACAGTCAGAGACTGCACAGTATTTGCAGGGAGAAAAGGTTGCGGTTATACTACTGCTATACAGTAGCGTTGCTGAAAATACCTATATTTATAGTCATTCTTATACACAGTCAGTATGACTTGAAGCAGATTGGAGAGATTGTGCAGTTTTGGGATTGGGAGAAATACAGTAGTTGCTCTATGCTACTACTATACTGTACTGCTGTCGAATCTGCTATATTTACAGTCTGCATATACTGTACACAGTCATATGTATGTTGGAGACTTGGAGCAGAAAGGGAGAAATCACAGTATATAGTTCCTGCTATTCTGTACATTTCTGCAGAAAAGTGCTATACGTACTGCTCTATAGTGCCACCTTACAGTGAAATGCAATATGGTGGCCTACATAGTGTGTACCCCCTTGTGTTCACTGTGCTGTATTGTTCTATATTACTGTGAATTGTGGTGTGGTACATATGATATACCCCACTCTGGGATCACAATGCATAGCCCCAACAGTTCTTTCTAGGTCTACCTTTTTTGTGAGTATCTGCTACAACTTCAGTTACTTTAGGACTTCTACTTGCAGTTTTTTTCTGTTTTACTGTTTTGCTTTATTTCATATTTACATATTTAAAAAAATAGTGTTCTAAGTTTTATTTTTGTGGGGGAGGTATATTTTATTTCAATATATTGATAGGTTTTTTTTTTTTTTTTTTTTTTTTGGGGGGGGGGGGGGGGGTCAGCACTTGTTCCTGACACAGTCAAAGCTGCCCTTTGTTTGCAGTATATCACCACATATGTGACCTTCACAGTTTAGTGCACCAGAGCACCAAATACTCATTCCCCCTATTTCCAAAGCTGTCAATAAAGGTAGGAAACCTCCTGTATTCATAATGTCTGCCAGGCTAAAAGGTAGAGACAGAAGTTCTAAATTCAGTGTGCAAAACCTTTGCCTCTCACTTTAGGCCTTGGAGGTCTTGTTTTTTTAATCAAGGGGATTGATTCAATTTATTGGCATCTATTAAAAAATTGGGGGGAAAATAGGAGGTGTGTTAGTGCTCACAACTGTACCGTATAAGTATGGAGTGATGTATGTGACAGGAACAAGCACCATCAATATAGACACCATCAGGAAATGTGTCAAAAGAGTTGCCTCTCTCCATTTTCTCATAGTAGGTGATTTTGGGCCTGCTCTTGGATAGTGCAAGTAGATCCACCAAACATTTTCCCTATGTATCAGGGAGTTGTAAAATGTTCCCCCTTAAAACCTTTCCCCTGAAAATTACTCCTCCTCCTTAATGCCAACTCACCACAACACTCCTCCATATCTATCTCTCCCATGTCTCCTACTGGCTTATGATATTGCACATACAGGGGGAGGCCTGGGAAGGAGGAATCTTGCTGTTTCTACTTCTGCTTCAAGCACCTTGTGGATCATCTGGGCTCTGGTCTTGTTTCAATGCCTGCCTTTAGTGTGCTGGTAATTTCCTGATGCCTAATACCCTCATTAGCACATGCTACCTGGGTGTTAGTACACAAGGTCTTGTCTCTTTTTGGGTCAGTTGCTTAATAATGTCATAACATGCCTTACCAGTTGCTTAAATGGTGTAACATACCTTAAAAGATGTGCAGGGGACAGCACCACTGCATCAGGTGAGCTTGCACCATATTCCTCTTCTGTTTTTGGTAACTGTAATGGTAACACGTGCTGAGCCCTCACAAAGCTGTGTGGAAGGGTAAGGATGCCA